CACTCCTTTCTGATCGTGGCGCTTCTTACTTGGCTCCCCCTGTTTTTTCTCTTGTGAGGGAGCAGAGTAATCAATATACTCCTTGAATTGTCCCTGCTTGATAAGGTTTTCGATCGCTTACTTGAGAGCTCAGCATTCATCGGTATGGTGCCCATTGTCCCAATGATAGCGACAATATTTTTTATTATTTCTGGCTATCGCGGGAGTTTTCATGGGCTCGAGCTCTCCAAGCAGGCTGGCCTCCTCGGATTTATCGAGAATAGCCGATACAGATGTGTTCAGTGGAGTATATTGGTTTCTGTCGCGATCGCGACGAGGGACGAGAGCATAGGACTTTTTGGGCTCGTAACGAGGTTTCTTCCCTCTTCGCTGATCGTCTACGTCCCCCCTACGATCAGCTCTTTTACTATCCCGTTGACCAGGTGCATTGCCCGAAGCGCCGTAGTCGCGGCGGCGGAGTGCCGACAATGAATTTTCTATCCAAAGGTACTTCTCTACAAGATTATAGAATCCAGTGAGGGAAACATCGTCCTCAGCCTGTAATTCTTTCCACAGGTTGGTCTGTGGACGGACTCCGGCTATGATGAGAGTCCGAACAAACTCTTTGGGAGTATGAGCCACCTTGTTGAGTTCTCTGTGGAAACGGTCAATGTAGGACTGGAGGGATTCATCCCTTTCTTGCCTTATATTGCTAAGGTAGCTCAAAGCCATCAAGAACTTTCGATTTGCTTGAAAATGCCTTAGGAACGTCGTACTCGTTTGAGGCCATGAACTGATCGATCCCGCTGGGAGCGACCTGAACCACCGTTTGGCATGAGAGGTCAAAGTCACTGTTAAACAACGACATTTTGCTTGATCTTAGACCTGGTAAAGCTCCATCAGGTCGTTAAATTCATACAAATGATCCTGCAGATCAGAGTTCCCATCAAACGCCTGCACCTCAGGCATCCTGAATCCTGGCGGGAGTGGAGCGGCTAACACTTTGGTAGAGAAAGGGGACGCAGATGCGACCTGCCCCTGCTCATTTTGTTGAGCTCGTAGTCTGTCTAGAGCTCACTGTAGCTCCTCAATTTTTGGCAATGGAGTCGTTTGGGGATTGCTTTCACCCATGCAGGTTCGACCCTTGCGATTACGGTTGAGGAAAGTCCGGAGGTCGGGTTCCTATTCCCCTCGGCCGGCAGTTCTGGTCACTCTCGACACACGCTGGCTAGAGGCGTGTGATGGCGATGAAAGGTGCGGGGTATTTTCAGGACCTTCGCGGTGGTAAGAATCACCCCGCGAAGTGTGGGACCCTCTCGCACGGTGACGAACAGGATCATTTTGTTGGAGGTGATAGGAATCGCCCCGTCCAACACTTTTATGGGTGTGCACTTGCGACGTGGCATGGGACAGCTCAGGCTGCGTCCTTTCACCGAATCTCAACGAGACTGGTATTCTGCTTGGGACGCGGTCGGAGTTTCCTGGCCCTTTGGAGCCGGTGGGTTTGTTTTTTGCCACTTGCTTACCCTTTCGTCTACGCGCTGCAGTGGTCACAGCATAGGCTATTTCCCTTTGCCGCGCTGTCGCGTGACCAGTAGATGTTTTTGGCGGTTGCACCGCCGCAGTTGACTTGGATGGCACGCCTTGGTCCAAACAGTCTAGCCTTCGGTTGACCGTCTGGATAGTATTATCAAACCTCTCCAGGTAGCTTCTAATAACGGGGTCAAGCTGTGAACTTAACGAGATATCTCCTGCAGCATTTTGCAAGGTCGAAGGTTTTTTTGGAAGAAGTGTCCCCCTAAACTTGGGGGAGCCCCTCAGCGCCCTGGTTGGTTTGCTCAGGTTATGGTTGGCGGGCCATTTGTTGCTGTAAGACCGGTAGGTTGGAGATTCTCCTGATGAAGGATGAACACTAAATCAGGCCCTTCTTCTAGCGCTAAATTGTTGATGCGTGATTTTGACACCAACGAAACGCACATGTGAAATGTTGAGTTGGCCCAAAAGACACACGTGAATGGAAAGGAAAATAATAGTAAATGCAGTGAGAAAGGAGTTTTAAAGTGGTTCGAATGCTAATGAAGCAAATCCTACGTCCACTGATGTTTTTATTAATGATAAGGGTCAAGTCGTTTTAGACGACTGACTTTACACTGATGATACAAGGTATCAAAGATTGTCTATTCTAGAGAGAGAGAAAGATTGGTCAAGAGTAAATGTGCGAATCCCCTTAATGAGAGAGGAGCTCTCATTTTATAATGGGATGCCTTGAGGTAATGATCACTGAATCTGTAAGTTAGTGGGATGATCCGTGCAAATCCTTCTTTTAGAGTAATTCACGTGATTTGCTGCAGGGATTGGACACGCAGGATCATCACAACTCCTGGCTGGCCTGACGTGCACCCATTATTCTAACGGAAGCAAGCTGTGGGTGTAACCATGATCACACGACGCGGCTACGCCAAAATGCCAGTAAACTCTTCCCGAGGTCTGACCTTTCGTACTTAACTGGGCACCACGTCAGCCCTATTTTCCCAAGCATAACAGAAGAGAAGATGAATGAAGTTGGATTGGAAGTCGGAAAAAGACGAAGAAACAAATGAAAACTAAAGACATGAAGGCTGAAGCAAAAAAGGCAAGGATTTTGCCTTTTAAAATAGTCACATATGTTGGACCTGATTTTCATCTAATCCGTTGGACCGGCGGTCTGATACTATTCCTCCGGTCTAATAACGGTAAAAAATGGTTTAAATGAAAAATATCGGTTTTTAACTCTTAATGAATCGGAGTTATTGGTGAAACCCGGTTGGACCATCCGGTCTGGTCCGGGTTTTAGAACATTGATATAGATTACTGAATTGTCTTTCTTTTTTAATATTATTATAATATTATTGTTATTATTTAGATTATTTTCTAATTCCTTACATTTGAGATTTTGCTAAAACACTCTAACCACAATAGAAGTTTAAAAATTAATAAAAACACTTTCAACCATCCAAGACGACTGATAGCTACTGGCGGCCACCACTGCCGTAATATAATTTTCACATCTATGTGAACTAGGATTCTAACACTTTCCTTATAGTGGTTTATGTATATAAATTCTTTCATAATATAATATTATAAATTTCCATAGAAAGAGTACCACTTAGACAGAAATTGCTTTACAAAAGTGAATATTCCTTACATATCTATGGATTATTCCTTTCCTCCACAGGTTATATAGGTATAAGCCTTGTATTCATTTCTCTGGACTCTCTTCAATTACAAGGTTACACTATATAATTTCACTCTGGTTATTAGTATAAAAAGGTTAACAAAATAAAATTAATAATGATGAGATTTAATCAACAACTCATTGAGATAATGGCTTATCTTTTAAATTTCATATTAGATCATGATCTAACAACTCTCTGTATCAGTGACTCAAACAAATTAGTGGTGATTAAATTCTCTATATAATAATTGTTTCAGTATTAAGATCCCAAAGCCAACCAAATTTTTTTAGCATTCATTGAAAAATGAAATTGCATAAAATATATGAAAAGATGTTATTATATTCTTAAACCCCATCTTAAGCAAATAAACCACCGAAAAGCTTCAACGTTATATGTTAGACAAAAAAAAAGAAAAAAAGAAAAAAAAAAAGAAATACAAGTTTCTAAGCTTTAATTTGTCTGCATCTCACAACGTTATACGTATACAAATTCCACAAAAAAAGCATCTAAAATTCCTAAACCTTGTCTTAAGTATTGATAAAAAGAATGAGCAATAATTTTTCTTTCCTGTAAATTGAGAAAAATACATTAACATCCTGATCTGATTTATTGGCGACTAATCAAAATCCAAGAGTTTCTGAAATTTTAATGAATAGAAAAAAAAATACCTTAAATTTGTGAAATGCCCTATTGGTAGAATCCTAATATTGGTTTTGAGTTTGAAACGTTTAACAATAAAGATGTTTGTGATATAAAACACGTATAGGGGTTTTACTCGTGGATTGGGATTCGCTTATGATCTGATTTTTACCAAAACAAATGCAAATATATATATATATATAATTGGTGGTTAATGTAAAATAATATTAAAATGAAACAAATCATAACCTTACATTATTGTAATATTATTCATGTACATATATAATGAGATATTAAAAGCTTAAGAGTGTTGAGATGGGGAGATAAATCTTAATTCTTTACACGTTGCGGTCATCCTTCAATAAAAAATTTGTCATCCATATTTGGAATATCAACATCATGTTTAACACCAAAAGAACAAACTTTGTTAGGTAAATTCTCCTATCCACTGTCCCTTATCAATTGTAAAACTTGCTTATATGCTTTAACCAAATTTATAGTATTTACAATATCTTGATCTTTTTTATAGTGCTTAAGAAAGTTCATTTATAAAATTAAATAAATCTTTCATCATAAATAGACTAAAAAAAATTAAATGATTGCATAAGTTTCAATCTATTATTAGAGAAAAATATGGTTGGAGAGATGGAGTGGACACGGTGAGCAAGAGAAAAAGTTGGGATTGAGACAAAAAGGGAAAAGAGATATTATTAAAGAAAGTCAAAATTTTTAATTAATTTAATTAATTATAATTTTGTAATTTAATTTTTGTAATTAATTTAATTTATTATAATTTTGTAATTTAATTTTTGTAATTAATTTAATTTATTATAATTTTGTAATTTAATTTTTGTATAGGGCAAAATTGAAAATAAAACCTAAGTGGGGTCACTTGACCCTATGTGGGTCCGCCCCTGTTATTATTCATGTACACATGTAATGAGATATTTAAAAGCTTGAGAGTGCTGAGATGGGGAGATAATCTTAATTCTTTATACGTTGTATATACGCTTTTGAAGATTTTTTTTTTTTGGCTATAGCTTATCATAATTACGAATAAATTAACTATAATTATTAATTATACCGCAGAAAACAAACAAAAACTCTTTAGATTAGGATAACTCAATGGGTAAAAGCAACCAAAAAAAAAAAAAAAAACAACCAAACCATGATAAAATAACACAAGAAAGTAAAAATAATTCAGTCTAAGAGCAGCCGTTTTGTTGAATCTTCACTTGGATTACAGAGAACACTGCTTGAATGACTGTAAGTAGAATCAGGAAAACAGCACCAACGACCGAAATGCTAGCCCATGGAGTGCTAAAATAATTCTGTATCAGATTTGCCCTCCACTTGTTGTAGCTTTTTCCACGGTATTTTTCCATTTCTTCACAAAGAACTGAAAAATAGTATCTATCAGGATCCAAAGTAGTCCCTCTTGAGAGATTATTTAAAAGAGTCGATGCCCCTTCTTTATCCGGCAGCCAATTTTCAATAATTTGTTTCTCAACAAGTAACTCAATATCTTTGGGAGTATTGGCGAGATGATGAATGATAAAAACATAATCGTTTATGTAATTATCGGCGTAATGACGTTGCTCAAAAGCAATCAAATTTCGAAACAATGATTCAGTCTCAAGCTGTAGTTTCAGCTGTGGAATTTCCAAAGTCCCGTTTCTGAAATTTATTTGAAATGATTCTTTGCTTTCGCTCAACTTGAACTTGGCTCCAGCTTGATGGAGTTGGATCACACTTGGTGCTGTCACAACTTCTTTTCTTTTTTCCTTTTTGGATTTCCCCAACTTCTCTTTTTCTTGCTTCAACTTTAACTTCTCTGTTTCTTGCCTTTTCTTTTCCTCGGGCGATGGTAGATGGCAAATTCTTAAGAAATCAGTGAAATGTTTAACTTCTACGTTTTTTTCAGTACCCTCAAATTTCTTTAATTTGCCATTTACTGCCTCTAAACTCTTGAAATATTCGTATGTGAGGTCAATGATCCTTGGCTTCCGCTCCTGAGGTGTGGCAGCGCCAGCTGGGATGGACTTACTCACTTTTTCTAGGTTAAAAATTTCCTCAAGAATGAAAAATGGAATTTGATTCTCAAGCAACCACATGTCGTACCATAAATCTTGAATCAAATATGGCTGTCCAAATATATGGTCTTCCTTCTTTCGCATTTTTTGGAAAGTATACCTCAACAAGAGTTCAACGATGAAGGCGGCGTCCACCAGAATTATTTCCACAAATTCATCACGATTAAAATTGATTGTTTCAGCATAACAGCTACGTAATTTTTCTTCATTCTTAGTAATCAAATCAAAAAGCTCTTTTACACTTACCTGAGTTCGCGTAAGAAACTCTTTCAGGTATCTTTGTTTTTCTTCTTCCATGAACTTTAAGTGTTCTTCGCCATGGTGAAGAGGGCCAATGGAGACTATTTGAGGTGTATAAGCTTTTTCATTTCCCTCGCGTAGACGCTTTGGAGCTTTATAGATGCAACAGTTTGTGGGTGGGATCAATTCTGACAAATTTTTTAGCTTCTCTTCCAAACTTGTCCAAGGCATTTTTGAAGATTTTGATTGTTCTTCCCTACTAATTAATTCCAACATGGTAAACAGTTAACTCAATTTGGTAATTATTATATTGAAAACAAATGGGATGAAAAAGAAATAAAATAAAGGCTAGCTAATATCTATATTAAGGATAATATTAATTGTAATGTTAATTTGGGATTCTTATTAAAATGAATATTTTGTGAATACTTAATTTGTCTACCATAGAATAAATAATTTCAAGCATTCTTGACATTAACCCCAGTGTCTAACTGCTGTGCGTGTTTAAATCGAATAAAACATGAAAAACAGAAATGTAACATAATTACATAAATATAATCAAATCTCAACCTGGTTATATCATATTTATGTACAGACAATGTATAAATAAAATGTAAAAAATATTCTTTAAGCTCTAAAACCCTTCTAGCAAGGTAGCATAATTTATAGCAGACTTAATTTAATTAAGAAGCTTCACAGTTTTTTTTTTATTTTTTTTTATTTTTTTATTATAGATTTCAGAATTATGCCATTATCTCGATTGTTCTCTAAAATAATATACTAAATACTGTTTCATATAGTATTGTGTTGCCAATTAAAAGATATATCACACAAATGGACAATTTTATTGGACAACTGAGATGAGAACGAAAATTAATACTTACATGTGGGTACCATCTTGTTCAACTCCTTGGATATCGATCAAACCTTCCTGATTCATACCTAGATTCGGAGGGATTTAGTGTGTATTTTGAAGTAAAAAAAAAAAAAAAAGCATATAGAGAGTACTGTCTCAATGGCCAACTGCTTTAGAACTCTTTTTACAGTAAGTTTTTCTTAGGCCTCAGGCTATCCTGAAGTAGTTTTCTAAATTTGATCCTTAAATAGAATTAATCGATCATTCCTTTCTTCCACTGGTGATATATAAGTAAGATTATTTTATTCTTCTAGATTCTGAGTAGGCACTTTAATTTTTTGCCCTAAATTTAACACCTTGGTAGCCATTAACTTTATTGGTCCAAGTCAGAAGTGTAAGTATTACCTATATAATGACATAGATTTTTTTACTAGTTTAATGAGAAATATACTTGGTTATTAGAAGAAAAAGATATAGAAATTAAAAAATAAAACTATTTCCCTCGAATAATCAGTTAGTTCGATTTAGTAATATAAAACATTCATTGAAAACTAACGGTGTATACAATGTAGAATTGTTGTCATATATTCTTAAACCTTACCTCAAGCAAATAGAGCACCAAAAAAGCTTCAGCATTAATTTCACAGCGTGAAAAAAGAGAAAAGATGCAATATGATATACATTTCTAAGCTTTGTTTTCATCTCATAAAGCACAAAGTAACCCTTAGTTTATCCCTAACCTTAGAGTATACGTAACGTTACACATGATGGTCACATAAAGCTTGCACAAAAAGCCTATGAATTCTTAAACTTTGTCTTGATCAAGCATTTGATAAAAGCATGTGTGAGCCATAGTTTTTATTTCCTGGATATTGAAATATTTGACCTTTTCACTGGCACCAAATATGATTGAATGGGTTTATGAGAGAGTAAACAAGGTATTCAAAGTGTGAAATAATTCAATTTGGGACGGTCAATCTCTACATATAAGAGAGAATTGTTTTCATCCTGTGGTTTTAGTTTAATAACTTTGAGGACACTTGTTTAAAATCTATAATTTTTATCCTTCTCGTACCAAATACTACTCTTTTAGACATTTGACCTAACAAATGTTAGTTGATTGTTAGCTTTTAAATTTGTATTGAAATAACAAAAATAACCATTTTAGAAAAAGATGAAAAATTATTTACACAAACAATAGTAAATTAAATAAACACATTAAAACCACAAATTCAAATTAAATAAACATATTATATACTAAATGTTGTGTGTGATTTTTCCACCAAGCTCGGAGCATTGCGAGGATATAGTTCGATCCAGAACCAGCTCGACTTCACCGATTGTCTGACCTAGCATAAGCTCGTTGAGATATAGCTCAACCCAACACAAGCTAGTTGCGAACAATCCGAATGATCGTTCAACCAATTCCCAGATATCTCAGGAATGATTAGATTGACAGTAATCTTTGTGCAATCGCAATGGCCAATCGCGAGAATATCGGAGTTGCATTTCAATTTAATTTTAATCCCTTTATTTTCGCTCTTTCCTTTGTACAAACTCTATATATAAACCCCCTCAAACAATAAGGAAGGGGTTGGAAAAAATTCCTAGAATTACTATTGTAAGCTCTCGTAGCAAATAAAAAGAACATTGAACGTAAGCTCAAGAGTTCATCTCGCCGAACCACTTTAAAATCCTTTTTGCCATTTACTTTACTGCATTCATTATTCATTCATTGCTACACTAATCCCGCCAAGGTCGATTATATCACTCTAGTTGGTGCAGATTTCTGTATCAACATTTTGGCGCTAGAAGGAAGGCCTCTGCCAACACCTCAGAAATTCTGGTAAACAGCCACAACGATCTAACCACTTCAGGCCCACAATGGTGCGAATAAGATCAAAAACCACCACCGGAAACCACGACGATTTGGAGACCACCCATCAGGAGGTGCAACAGAATGTCGCTGGGCGTCGACCACCATTGCCGCCATCTCAACATGCCACAAATAACTGGGGGCAGGAACGTCAAACCCCGAAAATGGCTAGCTGGTGGAGATGATTAGAACCATGGTTGCACAGGCGGTGCAACAGAATGTGGCTGAGCTGAGAAATCAGCAACCAACTGCCCAGAACCTTGACTAGCTGCACTTCACTGATCCCACCCTGACGAATCAGACTTCAATCGAAGACCAGTTTAGCTTATCGGCGCCAAGGGACGACCGACACCCCTGACATCAAAGGGTGCACTCTACTCACAAGCATGAGTCACGCAGGCAAACTAACCTTGGGAGGCGGTTAGGGAAATAACCAATAGGTGAAAGCGAAGGTAATAGTCACCCACGAGACGATTGACCTACTCGGTGGAATCCTCAACGTTAGCATGTCGATCTTAACCCATGCCTAAGACAAGCCCGGTCCTCGCAAGCTTGCAAGACGAGTAGTGTGCGCCAATCTGGCAATGACTAATGTTCTTGTTATAACTGACGTTGTGAGCAATGCACTGACGAGCATGATAACACTTATCAATCGAGCCATCATGACTCAACTTCGTGCATCAATGCCCGTAATGGAGGGGGTTCACAAGCAACAGATTTGCGAACTCACTTGCTCAAGGTAAGGTTGAATAGAGCTAGACAGGGCAATCACAATGAAGACTTGGATCATGTGCAGAAAATATTCGACGATCTAAGGGCTTGCCAGAACGGTGTGGCATAAGAAATAGTGAGTTCCTCCTTCATAAAGGAGGTTTGCCAAACCCTGCTTCCACAGGGATTCAGGGAGTCACAGAGTAAGTTTGAAGGGAGAGGAGACCCTAGAGACCACCTCGACAATTTCAATGACCTGATGGAGCTTCACCAGGTCTATAACCTAGCAAAGTGTCGTTGCTTCTTGGTTACATTGGTAGGGGATGCCAAGAGGTGGTACAAAAGACTCAAGGCAAACTTCATCAGTTCTTGGCAACAATTCTCCTCGCTGTACTTGCAGCAATTCCAGGCGAGGAGACAATTCGCAATGCCATTTAGCTACTTGAGCAATATTTGTCAGGAGAGAGATGAAACCCTGAACTCGTATTTAACGAGGTTCCAGAACGAGTAAGCAAAGGTCACAGATGCACCCGAATAGTCAATCCAAACTTTGCTAATTGCAGGCATTAGGCCGAACAAAGAGCTTTGGAAAGAGCTCCAAAGTAAAGATCATGTGAGCTTGGTGAAGTTTTATCAAATGGCTGCAAAGCACTAGCGAGTAGAAAGCTCGTTAGCAGCCCTAGTTAGAAGCTCGCCAAGAAGAGCCTCGGGCAGGTGACAGGATCGCCCATTAGATAAACGGAGGGGCCAAGACTGTAATGATAGGGACCGAAATAGGTCTAAAAAAAGATAGAGAAAAGATAACCACGGGGACAGGCAACCCTGTAATATACTGTCTAGCTAGTAATTCTTTAAGAAATATATGATAAAATCCACTAAATAACTTTTGCAAACATATATACATAGAGGTATATAATGTAAAATCCAAAAATTCTAATTTTACTTCATATAAATATATACACAAAATAACCGATATACTTTAATAAGTACAAGGTAGTCTTGGACAATGCTGCCAAACTCCTCCGCTTCTTAACGTCCCACCAAATCGTAAATCATCAAGTACCTGTAAAATTGTAGAATAACGGAGTGAGCACTAATTGCTCAGTAAGTAAATCAAACTGCACTACTGTTTTTCCTCCATTACTTATGTTTTGATTTTCCTTTTCTCATTGTAATCTTTGATAATATTCTTCATTCTTTTCTGATATTCTGCATTCTTTTCTAATACTCTGATTTGCTACTTATCAATGTGCAAAGACAATGAATAAAACTGTACATTGTCCAGCACATAAGAAATACTGAATCATGTAAGTAGCATAATACATATGCAGAATAATAAACTATACTGAGAAAAGAACTGTCTTTTCTTTTCTGTTATTTGTATCTTATGTTGTATCTATTTCTTTTCTTCTCTGTTTCTCTTTCTTTTCTTTCTTCTATTCTGGTTTGCTGATTGGACTAGGTTGATGCATGGATTTGGAACCATGGCCATGTGAGTGGGTACAGTCCTCATCTACATGCATTACTGATAGACTGTACAAATGTTGTATCTCTTTGCTGTGGCCGCTCACTAATGGTGGCGTGCATGTAGGTATGCTCTGCTGGGTACAGTCTTCATCCACATACATTACTAATGGACTGTACAAATATTGTATCTCTCTGCTGATGCCACTAACTGATGGCGACGTGCATGTGGGCATCTCTGTCACTCACGGGTTCCTCATCGCAACAACCTTATAACATAGCATTCCATAGAAAGAGAATAGAAAGAGATATTATACACATTTCAACATGAATTTCCAACCTATGGAAATTCTACACTTGCATTCTTTAGTAAATGGAAAATATACATACTTGCATGTTAGCTTAAAAGAAAACTACAAGCCATTCTCTTTTCTTTCTTTTTCTCATTCTTTGCTAACATATTCTTTCATATTCTCATTTACTAAATCAAGGTGTATATATATATATCATGTGCACAATATATGCATGATCAAGCCCATTCTTTAATATGCTTTCCAAGTTCACATATACAAACTTGAAAATTCATTATGGCATTATGGTATGTCATGACATATTCTACCATTCTCTACTATCACAATTGCCATATCAAAGTAACACTTTAACTTGTAATTTCTTTCTAACACTTTCATGTGCTATTCAAAAAGTAATAAAGGTTCAAGTAACTAGAACCAAGCACTAAGGGTCATTTCTCTCATGGAACTAACATGACCAAGTGATATTCTAAATTTTGGCATAACAATATGCACTCTTGAATACTAACATCTACACTTGGTTAAGCTCAACATAATCTTTCTACTTCAATTCTTGCCTTTCTCTAACCCTTTCTTCAATAGGGTTTAGCCAACTCATGCATGCATTTTCTCTTTGGATTTTTATCAAACACTTCATATGCACATGCAACTACCATGTTGGCTACACTTCCACATCTCTCTAAATCCACCAAAATTTGAGCAAAAACTCACTAATTATAGCATCAAACCTGGCCATTTTCAACAATTCTCA